TTTCTTTCTATTTTTAGTAGAGACAGGGTCTTGCTCTTGCTCAGGCTGGTCTCGAACTCCTGAGCTCAAACAATCCGCCTGCCTCAGCCTCCCAGAGTGCTAGGATTACAGGCGCGAGCCATCGCTCCCGGCCTTCCTTAGGTTTTTGACCCTAAACAAGTTATGTAACTTCTCTGGACCTCAGTTTCCTCTTTTGAAAAATGGAGATAATTATAGCACCTATACATCATACATTTTCTATAGGGATTACATGAGTTAATATATGTATTATGCTTAGGACAAATACTGGAGAATAGTGCTTACTAAGTATTTGCTATTGGCTATCATCAGAGATCAAGATCACAGAAAACACAATTTCCTAAGACATTTGAATTTTGCTTTAAAAAAGAACCTGCTGTAGAAGAATCAGAGTAATCTGTTAGCAGGAAATTTGGTTTTTACCATTTCAGACTTCGTTTAATTATTTATTTGTTAATTTGGTTAAGTAAATTGGAATCGCAGTTTTGTTTTGTATGAGAATTTGAGTACTTGAAATTACCTGACTTAAATATTCCAATCCGGGTGGACAGTTTAATGGAGGCGGTGGTGCTGGCATCCATGGTATCCCTGCAGGTCCACCTGGCTGATTATATACAGGCTGATTCTGAACAGGGAAGCCAGCTGGGGCAGCATGTGAATAGCCAGCTGGTGGGACTGGGTAGTCAGCTGGTGGGACTGCGTAGCCAGCTGGTGGCACTGGGTAGCCAGCTGGTGGGACTGCGAAGCCAGCTGGTGGCACTGGGTAGCCAGCTGGTGGGACTGCGAAGCCAGCTGGTGGCACTGGGTAGCCAGGTGGTGGGACTGGGTAATCAGCTGGTGGCACTGGGTAGCCAGTCTGGGGCTCAGGGTATCCAGTATGTCTTGGGGGTCCTGAAATAGCAACAGGTAAAATAATTTGTAACTGCACAGAGAAAATCATCAACCCTTTTAGGATTACCCTAGCTATCTGCGAACTGACTTCTCAGGTCAGAAATCCTGTATCTGTGAAGCTTAACGTGTGATTTTTTCTTCAGAGATTTTTCAGTGAAATATCCATGGTTTCCTATCTACTTCCATTTTGAGAGTAGTGGGCTGTGACTAGAGTTCACCCACAGACTTAAACCTCACCATTCAAAATGCTTTAATACCTAAGAAAATGATAGTAAACCAACCATGATCTAGAGTCACCTACGTAAAGGTTCTGGCATGCCTTCATGGAAAAGACAGATGGCATGAGGTAGAAGGCCCAAAATAAAGCCTTTGAGCCAGCATTTTTAGGGCCAAAGCACCTGGGAAAAGTGATAATTCTGGAATTCTAATAAATGGCGCCTCCTATATGTACAGAAGTAGGTGAGGTTTTGCCACCCCCCATCCCAAAGGACTAATTGACAAGGTCTAGAGATGCATTTCTTGGTCACAACTGGAGGGGAGGATGACACTGGCATCTGTTATATAGAAGCCATGGATGCTGCCTAACATCCTAAGATGTCCAGAACATTCTCCTGAAAACAAAGAATTGTTCAGATCAAAATATTATCATGTTGAGAAACCCTGATACGGAGGCAAAAGCATGTCATTTCTTCTAGTATGTTTTAGATATTTGTTTGGGTTAACAGTTTGCCGGGAGTTTTAATCCATGGTGTATTCCTTTCCTAAATCACTCTCTATTAAAAAAATTTCATTATGATTTTTAGGTTAGAAATTTAAATTTCTCAATTTAGCACTCTTTACTGTGGAAAATATAATTTGAGAAATAGGAAAGGCAAAAGTTATAAGAGGCCGAGTAGAGGCAAAAATTTAATAAGTATATGCTTTATAATCTTCTGTGAATGTGTTATTTCAATGAAGCTTCATAAGCTTATTTGTATAGTCCACAGAGTAGCAATTCCAAGAATATAATTTCAAAGGACTGTGCTCCTCAATATTTTAACATTGAAGGCCATGTAAAATTTTACACTTAGGCAATTGATAAATACTTTCAAATGGAGCATTTAGAACAAAATTCATATACCATTAATAAAAAAGGCTTATAAAAACAGATTAAACCTCATAATAATATTTTTTAAATACAGCTTTTACAACTTATTCCTTCTACATTAAATGAATATGTACAGATGATCTATAATGTTCCTGGCTCTGTTGCAGAATCAGGGATACAGCTCTCAAGGAGGCAACGTCCTCTCAGAGTACAGTCAACTTCTGGGAGACAAAATATAAA